TGTGTGTGTGTGTGTGTGGTCTTTTTGTCCAGTTCTTCCTTTGGTCCTGCCTCCTAGATAGGTGTGGGTTGTGTGTGTTTGTTTACACATACATAAATGCACGCACGAGCACCCCTACTCGTTTGCTCTGTTCATTTTGTATAGGACTAGCTCTCCTTTTTTCTTTTTCTTTTTTTTTTTTTTTGAATTGTGTTATACCTTTACTTTGTTTTATTTGCTGTTGGTCATCTCTTCCATATTTTTCTTCACTTTCTGTTGTCTTATGGGTTTTCTCGTTTTATTTTTGCAGTTTCTGGCCTGTTTCCAACACTTAAATCTGCTTTTCGATATTATTTAGTAGGAAAACTTACAATGTAGTTACGATACCAGCTTTTTCCTATTGATCTTTCTTCAAAGCATAAAACTGTTAGAAATCCTATTATAAGTCAAATATAAAACCCAATAGGCTAGTGAAATGTATCTTGTATGTGGTTTTTGTTTATTCAGAGCTGTTCTGTTTCATCCAGTCACAGGAGCCTTTTTTAATTCTTGTTTTTAAGCAAATGAAAATGGACGTTTCTTTTATATTGGCATGTTTATTTTCATTATCCCAGTATATGAGAATAGTGTGTAAAATACTTGTTTTTTTGTGTGTTTGTTTTCAGTTTCACAGCACTTCTAGTATTTTGAAAGTATTTCAGTGTTAACTGTCACTTACTAGCATTATGTCATTCACTTATAGGGTGTGTTTGACCATCGAATGAAGTGCTGGCAGAAATGGGAAGATGCTCAACTTACTTTGCTCAAAAAACGTGAAACTGAGGCAAAAATGATGGTTGCTAATAAACCAGATAAAATACAGCAAGCTAAAAATGAAATAAGAGAGGTGATTAATATAAAATGCTTTACTTACAGCTTTACTCAGATTTTGCATGAGTCATTCATATATGCATAATTTTTCATAAATTTTTTTCTGAACCATTTAACACTAGCCATTTTTCCATAATTTTATGAACTGTGTTAGAATTACTTTAACTTTTTGATCATCATTAAAATCTCCAGAGCCCTTTGTTATTTCCACATGATTATGGAACAGATAAAGAAGCACACAAGGAAAAGATTTAAATTAACCTTTAATTTAATAATTACACAGTTCTTTTGAGATGGTCAGTTTGATTTCAGATAATTACTTATTTTGTATCTAAGAATAGTTTTAGAGCATAGACTTGCCCCACATTTAGCTTTCCAAGCAACATTATCCCCCATATATATGTACTATATATGGTATTTTAGTAAATTTGTATAAGTTTATTATAATTTATACACTTTTTTTGCCATGCTTCAATAAGGAAATTGAAGAGGTAGGACAACCTTTATGTTACTAAAAGTAAATGTACCTGCTCTTTGAAGAGTATGTACCACTGTTTTGGTTACATGGTGGGAAAATACCATTTCATTGCTTTAAGTTTCAGTTATTTTATTTTAGCTACTCCATTGGCCACTAATCACAATGTTTTGTTGTTTCTGTACTGAACTTTATGTTTACCAATAGGTCTTCAGTAGACCATAATTCCACTTTTTTTTTTAAATCCGAACATTTTACTATTAAAAAATGTTTTTAAATGTTTGTTGTATAGTTTTCTTAAAGTATTTCCATAGGCATATAAATTGTGGTGAACATGTATTCTTGAACTTGAAAGAATGTTGTTGATACATTATGGAATAATTAATGATATCAAAAGGAAATGATAAAACTACCCCAACACTGCTAAATTGATAGTGAATTTTATACTCAAAATCTTTTCATCTGTCTTAGTTGTATTTAATTAAGCTGTGGAGATTATAATTGATTAAGTACTAGAATATCTTAATCTTGAGTATATCTGACAGTGAAATATTAATGAAAATTAAGCTGATAGGCATTTCTAGTACTGAAAAATTAAATAAAAGTTTGAATGATCCTAAATTGGGCTTTGCCATTATTGAGCTTCCTCAGGGTTTACAGACATTAAGTCAGTGATTGTGACAGCTAGTTCTATAATATTTTCCTTACAGGAATTAAAAATATGTGCATTTTTGTTTGTTTCTGTTAGTGGGAGGCAAAAGTACAACAAGGAGAAAGAGATTTTGAACAGATCTCTAAAACAATTCGAAAAGAAGTGGGAAGATTTGAGGCGAGTATAATGACATCATTTTTTGCTGTGATTTTGTAGTAAACTCAAATTTAGTTTTGTACTGATAGACTTTCTTCTTTATTGTACCACAGAAAGAACGAGTGAAAGATTTTAAAACTGTTATTATCAAGTACTTAGAATCATTAGTACAAACACAGCAACAGGTAAGCTAATTTTTTTATAACTTAACAAACTTCTAGAACTTTTTGGTATACTTTTTCATTTTAAAGATGTCGGTGAAAAGAGTTTTTAGGGCGCCTGGGTGTCTCGGTTGAGCGGCTGCCTTCGGCTCAGGTCATGATCCCAGGGTCCTGGGATCGAGAGCCTGCTTCTCCCTCTCCCTCTGCCTGTGGCTCTGCCTATTTGTGCTCTCTCTCTGTCAAGTGAATAAATAAAATATTTTTTTTAAAAAGGAATTTTTAAACTTAACGGAGGAGTAAGAAATGGAGTAAACTGATAAGCACAGAGGAAAACATGGTAGTTAAATTGGAAATTCTCAGGTCGTTTTTGCCTCTGCTCCTGAACTCCAGTTGGGATACATTTTTCCCAGATTATGGCAAGGAGAAACTTGCTGAACAGCGTTTCCCTTTTTCTGTCTTCCTAGTTTTACTTCCCTAGTGATCACACCTGTTTGAGTAAATTCTTCAGTAAGTTCTTTTCCATAACAGAACTTAAAATTAAAAACTGGCCTTTTTTTAAGGTTTGGGGGGGTTTGTATTATTGTGATTTTTGTTTTATTTTGTGTGTAGTTGGTGATGATGGGATGCCACAGATGGCATTTGTCTCCCTAACTAGAGTACAGACCATGGGTTTTAATTAAAATCTATAACAAGGTAATAGTATGCTTTAATATAAATTTGAGTAATCAAATTATTTAATGTCTTGAATAGAAGAATTTCTTTATCCAGCTTTAAAATATGTGGATTAGGAACTTATATAATATATAATAGACTGATTTTTAATTGAGAGATGACATTATACCTTCAGATTATATTTAGTCTTTAAATACTTCATTAAAAAATAATTTATATGAATTTGTTTTTAAATGAATTGTTTTAAATGTAACTTTATACTTTCACTAATTCTATGGACTATGGAAGAAACACTGAAGCAAATTCCTTCTACTCTCAAAAGAAGACCACATGTCCCTTTCTTGCCTAATACTTTTTTTCTCCCACCTTTTTTTCATTGTTTTCGGCTAGCGTAACATAAAATGTGAATATCCTCTGAATTAGGGTATGTTATCACTTTATATTGGAAAGGTTCGTTGCAGTTTTATTATTTAAGGTAGTCTCATTTAATTTACATTAACAATCTGTTTCTATATACAATTTTGCATAAACAAAATCTTAAGTTATAAGGTTTTTTAAAATTTTTATCGTTTCCATCAAAAACTGAAATAAGCCAGTAGTAATTAATTTATACATGAATTATATTGACAGACTTCAGATAGGGAAATTTAAATGATCCCTCATAGAACTAGACTTCAGTAAATGTTAATCGTTATTAGTTACTCGTAGAGACATTTTATATGCTGGACGGAATATATGCATGTAAATGACAAAAAGGTAATTAGAATATCTTTGGTTATGATCCGCAGCTGATAAAATACTGGGAGGCATTCTTGCCTGAAGCCAAAGCCATTGCCTAGCAAGAAGATTTCTGTTACGAAGATCTTGGATGTTTGTTCCAGTTACGCTGAATTCCACAGTGAAATCATTTAAAACCATCTAAATAAACCACTCTATATTTTATGAATTACATGTGGTTTTTTTATATACATATATATGTATATATATATACTCTGACATTTTATTACAAGCTGCATGTCCTGACCCTCTCTGAATTAAGCGGACTGTGGCATGACATTCTGCAGTACTTTGCTGAATTGAACACTATTGTGTCTTAAATACTTGCACTAAAAAGTGCACTGCAAGGCCAGAAAATTTTACAGTATTTTTTCTTTACAATACATTCTGTAGTGTGTTTGCCCTCTTTATGGAGTGAGTTATCAATGCATTGATTAATGTTCACTTATACATTCCTGTACAGAAATTATGATTTCGTGATTACAGTAATAAAACAATATTCCTTGTGAAGTATTAGTAACAAATTATTTGGGTATGTAAACATGTTAGAGATCTTTTAAAAGCATTTTTAATCACAAGAAATTCTTGTTACTAGATATACATAGGTGATGCTGTTATCCATTAATTTTTTTTAATTGCCAGAAAAAGCTGAACTCTTTCACTATAAATGACTAAATGAAGGTTTAAGTTCTCTTCTGAAATCATCATAAACCAAAGAACATTTATCTTTTGATTCTACTCTGGGAAATGCTCTTGTCTCGAGTAAAGGAGAGAATGAATACTTCCCTTTACTTGTTTTACTCTCATCCCTATTACTAGTGTCCAATTTAGGAATTAGGAAAAAATGTATTTTTGTGCTTCTGTTACAAGTCCTGTGATTTTGCTCATCTTCTGTCTTCAAAGTCCTAGACTTGTGTGTATTTAATTTATTCTTTGCCTTTTCTGTTTTTCATTTTAAACTTAAGGTTAGATCATCTGTGGTCATAACTGATAATGAATGGTACCATGCTAAAATTCCCCATGATTTGGTGAATAACCAAGGATAACAGAAAGCACATTTGAAGTAAAATGAAATTTGTTTTTGGCACCCTTCTTACTGATACCATATCTTGTTCAGATGGCTGTTACCTAATCCTTGATGCTTACAAAAGTTTAAGTTATGACTGGCATCAGTTTTCATTTTTTAAAGTGTTCTTCAAGATGCCCCTCTTAAGCTTACCAGCTACACCTCCCAGAGAAGTCAAATATGGTTATGTGTAACTGAGTCCTCTCCAGCACTTACTGGATACAATTAATATATCAGAGTATTCTCAGATATGTTTGCTTTCACTTGTTTTAGCTGAAGTTTTAAGCCTACTGTAGACATTACTGATTTTTAGACTCCTAGAACTCGGAAGAGTACCTAACACATAATAGGTTAATAAGAAAGACTTGATGAACAGGAAAAGAAAATGCTGGAAGATGCAAAATAATATATGCTCCCTTAAGAAGAAGAAACTGGAGCAGAAATAGGACTTCTGTTGCTTCTGTTAGAGATAACTTAGAAACTTTTGAGGAGTGAGCAATTCATAGTAATATATATCACATGCTATCTTGTCCCATTAATACTGAGCAAAATCTACAATGATGTTTTACTGTTAACCTCCATCGTTACGTTACTTCCAAAGATACAGTTTATACAGTAGGTTAATAACTTAGTTATTCCAGTCAAAATCTTCCATTCCTCTGTGGTATGTTCATTAGAGTATTCAACACCTCCAAATAAAATAATAAATATTCCCATTCTTGATCAAGCCGAAGAGAGTAACAGACACTGACCCCGTTCCAGTCTTCATTCCTCTTGACAGTCTTCATTAAAAAAGGAATCTTTGGAAATATCAAGTGAATTATATGAGCCTCTGATAGCTACCAACCTTTTTAGTATCTTCAGCACTCAGCCCACCTCCACCTATCAATCTTAACATCTATTCATGTTACTGAAATACTTTCACTGCAGTAAATAGAACAAGGGCATTAATAGTGCTGATAACATAGTCTTTTGGATAGAGCTGAATTTTTTTTTTTCTTAAATCAGATAAAGAAGTACTAAGCCTATTACATGGGATAAGCTGAATCTGGAGTCAGCATACACGTGTTCAGTCTTGCTTCTGTCACGTTGTAACTATGTGACTTTGGCCTTATCACATAAAACTCATCTGTAAGACAAGGGTATAAGACTCCTGAAGTGCCTTTCCACTTTAAAATAGTTTGCTTAAAATACCAAACTTCAGTATCAGTATTACTCTATTAGAAAATCAGATTCTACTCAAAATCACCTGTTAATAAAACAAAGCTAGAACAAAATTGTGTGTAAAAATAGGATTTCTAAAACCTAAAAGGATGTTTTCCTAATGGTATTTTTTGACAAGCTATTTTCAACTATCCAGCTCGTTTTATACATGCATATGTATTTATACTAGCCTCAGAATACCCTTGTTTAATTTGTTGCTCTTCTTTAAACTTTTTTATTTTATTATCCAGATCTAGTAAAGTTTTACAAGTTCTTGTACAAGTTGTTTCATGAGTGGTTTTTTAAGAAGCCTTTTAACAAAATCCAGTTTTTCTGAAGGAATGAAATCAGGTGAATAGAGAAGTAAGACTATATTCTTTTAAAAAATGCTTCTTGATGTCTAGGAGCATTAGAAAGACTTCCATTCTTCTGTCTTAATGAATATGACTAGTTCTGAGGCTGATGGCTACTTCACTTTCCTTGCTGTAGCTCCCTGCTTGGATAGTCACATGACTCACAGGAGTCAAGGATGGACAGCAGAAATTCAGTAATAGTAACTACTGATAGGCCGAGCAAAAGTCATCTTGTTTTAAAGGTAGTGAGGAGGAAGGAGAACACATGTAAAAAGTCCGTTCACTGGCTTGGGAACTGTGCAGGCATTTTCATGTCCTATTCATTAGTCTGGAAGTGTGTGTATTTCTCCATGTGACATAGTGCCTGTTTCAAAGTATTGAAAAAAGACTTTGAATAGAATCACCATCCCCTTCCTTATCCAAAATTTAGAATCTGTTAAGTATCACTACTAACCCTCACAGTGAAGGATATGGTTTCGAGTAATAATGAAGGTAAATGGTTGGCCAGACAGAATAGCAAGAAGAGGGGAACTACGTAATGTGAATACTTGCTGACTACTCTGCTTTTTATAATCAGGGCTATGAAGAGAGGTCATAGTAATCTGTGGATAAGGTTCTTCAGAGTTTAGACCAAGAAAAATGCAATGTGAGCCACATAAGTAATTGTAAGTTTAGCCAAATTTTAACGAATAAAAGAAACAAAGTTAATTTAAATATTTAAACCCAGTAGCTCCAAAATACTATTTTAACATGTGATCCGGTATATCAAGGATTATTGTGATATTTTACCTTCTGTTTTTCCTGTTAAATCTTGGATAATCCACTGTGTATTTTACACTTATATTACCTCTCCATGCACACTAGCCACATTTTAAGTGATTAGTTGTCACGTGGCTAGTGGCTACAATACTGGACAGTGCAGGGTTGAACAATGCCTGTGGAGATGGAGGCTAACTCCCAACAGCTGGTTTATTTACCATCTCACATCCAGTGAAGAATTTGAAGTGAAATAAAAGGGACTAGTAGCTGTTGCTCTCAAGGGCAGGTACGATCTAGGTGCAAGACTTTGTAGTTTAGTTCCTCGCAGATAATGGATACTTGGTATCCACTGTGAATAAATTGTAGCACTATCTTGCCAGAAGCCACTTAAAGACTGTAGTACAACTTCTTCCTCTCACTGATGAGCAGATCCAGAGCTTAAATCATTATGGTTGAACCAGTTTTTCCTGTTTTCCTTCTGTTAACCATCTGTGAACATTCTTCCTTGAAAATGTGTGATAAGCTTTTCAAGATTCCTGTTCTAATCATTAACATATGTAATTCTAGGAAGTCCTTTGGGATACAGAGAATTCATTTCTTCAAACTGTTAATTCAGAAGGGGCTGAGAATAGAGATTGTACAAAACAGGAAAGCTGTGGCTTGCTGTCTAATCTTTTAACATATGGGAAGAAATTAAAAATGCTCATCTTCCTTTCTCTCGTCACATAACTTTTTTAAAAAATTCTTTAAGGATTGAATAATTCAAAGTATTTTTTTAAATTAACTGGGTCAAATGGAAACTTTGTAATTAAAGCCAATTAAGGTGAAGCTGCCCACTGTTAATACACAGAAAATTATCTTTTTTATTAAGGCCAGTTAATGAGATATACTGCTTTAAGGGAGTACTTTGAGAAAAAGAAGGTTCTATTTTAAATTTATATATATACATATATATATATACACACACCTATGTAACTGTTTAATAAAAACTAAAATCAGACAAAATTTAACAAAACTAAACAATAAATTGCCTTATTGCTTCCATAGTCAAGTCTCAAGCTATCTCTTGATTTTAACTTGTATTTTCTAGATCTTTATTTCAGATGTTCTCACTATGTAAGTGTGTGTGGATTTGTATGTGTACATAAATATTTGTGTGCATGCATCACAGTAGGCTTTCAAACAGCTTAGTTTCTAAATTTCAGTTAAAAATGTTTCCCAGCCTCTTGGGAAACAAGTTGAGACATAAAACAAGCTTTTTATGCTGTCGTTTACATTGTTCAGGTACCATTATTTTGCCAAGACCAACTTGAGTTGATTCTATTTCTGAAATGTATTCCCTTCTCATTTCCTACTATTTCTCTCCCAGAGTCTGGATCTTGTGACCAGGTACCAGAACTGTCTTAAGTCTCCTACGAAATGCGCATTCTTTCACTCCCCCTGCTCTGTCAGTCCTGCAACAATCTGCTACTAAAATTACCTTTCTAAAGAATTCTTACCACGGTACCATGCACAGAAATTCTCAGTAGACCTCCCTACAGACTACAGATAAAGTTCCAAATGATACAAAATCTGGTCTCAAACTACTGCCTGTCCTGGTCTTACCCTTTACCCTTTGCTTTAATCACGTGATGCCCCCGTCTTGTGAGCATGCTCCAAACTTCCCTGGGTCAGTGCTGTTGTTGATGTTACCTTGTCTGAGTTAACCTTTTCCCTTTTGCCAGCAATCGTTTAAATCCTATCCATTCTTTAGACTTTAAGACCACATTTAAAAAGTCCACATCTTCCATATATCCTTTTTAGACTCCTAACTAGAAGGACTCTAGTAACACCTTGTGCCTTTCAGACCGTACTAATGGATGGCTTTGTTGCATTATATCTGATGGTTGTCTGGCCTTCCTGCTTTGACTAGTGTGTATGCCCCTTAAGGAATGACTATGCCCTTGCTAGTTTTCGTAGAACCTAGTATGGTACAGCCACAAGATGTATATAGTTATGCATGTAGCCCACCAGTTTAAACGCTGGCTCAAGAATCTACATCATTGACTTTGAGCTCATTATTTTTCTGTAAAACTTAGTTTCCATATCTGTAAAATGGAGAGTACAAATAGTACTTGTTCAGGTGCTCC